TTTTTGAGGTTCTAGAAATGTACTATATCTTGATTGTAACTGTAATTTCATGGCTGTATATATTTATTAAAATAATATATCTTTATATTTAAAATGTGTAGATGTAAGTGTAGATAGATATTTTAATAAAGTTGATTAAAATCAATAAGAATATAAAAGACTTAGATCAAAATATCAATCAAGTTGACATAATTGAAATGTGGAGAACACTCCCAACAACAGAAAGAGGTTACACTTTTTTTTCAAGAGCACAAAAAACAACTGCCAAAATAGGTTATCATTATGGAAATAATCCTCAGTAAATTTCAGTCATACAGAATATGTTCTCTGACCAAAGCAACAATAAGGAAGAAGTGCACATCAGCAAGATAGTCCAAATTATTTTGAAATTAGGTAACATATTTAAATTTTTCATAGGACAAATAATAAGTCTCTAATGTGTAAATGTTCTAGATTAAAAAAAACATACCAAATATAACAATTTGTAATATGAAGCTAAAATATGCTCATAAGGTTAAATAAGATTAAAACGCTTACATTTAAAAGAAGACGGACTTAAAGACAATGATCTGGGCTTCTCTTTGGGAACAAAATAAAACCAAGACAAAATAAATATAAAGGAATAAAGAACATTTGCCATATAAATAAACATTAGTCTACTAATATCATTTATATGACAACAAATTTTATAAAGTTTAGTAATAGCTTCAAAGAAACATACAACTTACCAGGACTTAATCATGAAGAAATAGAATACCTGATCAGACCAATAAGAGTAAGACAATTCCATCATTAACCAAATGCATCCTAACAAAAAAAAAAAAAAAAAAAAAAAAAAAAATCCCAGGATTTGACTGGTTTTATTGGTGAATTCTAACAAACATTTAAAGAATAATTGGTGGCTACACTTCACAAGGCTTCCAAAAAATTGAAGAGGAGATAATACTACCAAACTCATTTTTTGTGGCCTTACACTGATACCAAAGCCTGATAAAGACACTACAAGTAACAAATTATCAACCAATAATCATTATGAGCTCAGAAACAAACATCCTTAAGAGACACTAGCAAACTGAATTAAAAGCATATTAAAAGGATCATTCACCATGACCATGTGAGATTTATCCTGGAATGCAAAGAGTTCAAAATATGCAAATCAATAAATGTGATACACTATATTAATGGAATGTAAAATAAAAAGCACCCAATCATCTCAATAGGTTCAGAAAAGGCATTTCACAAAACTCAACATGTTCACAATAAAAATTCTCAACAAATTAGGTATTGTTGGAAAAAACAGCAAAGGAGAAAGGACTTATAGAGTGCCTACATAAATTGGTTATGAGTAACACATAAACAAGGAACAACAATCTGTGGAAGGCCACAGGAGGCCTCTGAGGAGGAAGGCCTCTCCATGCCTTATGTTCCAGTGCAGGGTGATTTAGGCTGTTACCATAAACATTGTGCTCAAGGATGTAAAATCCCTTTGTAGCACTATGATGTAGCCAGACTTGTAGCCTCCTTGTATGACCCATATTCCACCAACTGTACATAGATAATAAGCTAAAGATAACCACATTTTCTTGTTTTGTGAAACTCTCAAACCGCCACTCTTTATTTTTTTTTTCTTTTTTTGAGATGGAGTTTCACTCCTCACCCAGGCTGAAGTGCAATGGCGCGACCTCGGCTCCCCGCAATCTCCGTCTCCTGGGCAAACTGCCACTCTTATTAATCCTTAGGATGATACACCAGTGCCGGCTCACTGATTCACTCTACCATCACTCCACCCCTACCCTATAGATCAAAGTGATTGTAATTAATAAATAGTGTGGATGATCAGAGCTCAGGGCCTTCACTGTCTCCTCCAGAGTAATAAAGTGATGGTCCCCTGGTCCCACTTTTTCTCTTAATCTTTCTTTCTCTCATTCCTTTGTCACCACTGAACTTGGGGTACCCACAGGCTATGTGGGGCTCATGGATTCCCTACAAGGTGTAGAAAGGATGTACCTCAAGGGCCGGGCGCAGTGGCTCAAGCCTGTAATCCCAGCACTTTGGGAGGCTGAGGCGGGTGGATCACGAGGTGGAGAGATCGAGACCATCCTGGTCAACATGGTGAAACCCCGTCTCTACTAAAAATACAAAAAAATTAGCTGGGCATGGTGGCGCGTGCCTGTAATCCCAGCTACTCAGGAGGCTGAGGCAGGAGAATTGCCTGAACCCAGGAGGCGGAGGTTGCGGTGAGCCGAGATCGCGCCATTGCATTCCAGCCTGGGTAACAAGAACGAAACTCCGTCTCAAAAAAAAAAAAAAAAAAAAGAAAGGATGTACCTCAATATAATACAGGTTGAAGATGATAAGTTCCAAGTTAACATCATACTGAATGATTACAAGCTGAAAGCTATTTTTCTGAGTTCAGGAATGAGACAAGGATGTCCACTCTCACTAATTCTCTTCAATGTAGTACTGGAAGTCCTGCCAGAGCAATTAGCCAATAAGAAATAAAGAAAAGCTGTCTACTTGGAACAGAGGAAATGAAATATTTTTTTGTGCAGCTGATATAATCTTACATGTAGAAAAACCTGAAGACTTCATCAAAAACTTTTTAGTACTAATATAAAATTCACTGAAGTTGGACAATATAAATAAACATACAGCTATTTGTGTTTTCACTAGTTGTGGATTAAAGACTTAAATGTAAGTCCTAAATGGTAAAAGTTCTAGAAGAAATCAAATGGAAAAACCTTCTTGACATTGGTCTTGGCAATTTTGTTTTTATCTATCATACCAATGCACAGGCAACAAAAGCAAAAATAAATAAGTAGGACTACATAAAACAAACAAAATTATCTTTATAGCTAAAAACACCATGAACAAGTAACATACAGAATGGGAGAAAAATATTTGCAAATCATGTATCTAAAAAGTCATTAATATTCAATATGTATAAGAAATGATTACAGCTCAACAGAAAATAAAAGGGTCAAAAATGGGCAAAGTACCTCAACAGACATTTCTTCAAAGAAGACATATAAATGGTCACTAGATATAAGAAAAGATGTTCAACATCAATAACCATGAGGGAAATTCAAATAAAATTCACAAGGAGATATTAACTCACATCTATTATGGCAGCTATTATTAAAACATACACATATACACAGAAGTGCCAGCAATGCACATCTATTATGGCAGCTATTATTAAAACATACACACATACACAGAAGTAAGTGCCAGCAATGATGTGGAGGAATTGGAATCTTTGTACACTTTTGGTGAGAATGAAAAATCGTCATGCCACTATAAAGAATGGCATGGAGATTCCTCAAAAAATCAAAACCAACTGTTAATGGATCCAGCAATCCCACTTTTGAGTATATATAAAAAAAATACAAAATAATTGAAATCAGGATCTTGAAAAGATGTTTCCACTCTTACGTTCATTGTCATATTGTTAAAAATAGCCAAGATACGGAAACATTCTGTATGTCCATAGACAGAAGAGTAGATTAAAAAACATGGCAAGTATACACAATGGAAAATGACTCCACTTTAAAAATTAGAAAATTCTACCATCTGTGACTACATGGATAAATCCTGAGATTATGCTTAATGAATTAAGCCAGCAACAGCAGATGAATACTGCATGATTCTTCTTTCATGAGTCATCTAAACAGTAAAACTTTTAAAAGCAGAGAATAGAATGGTGGGATCTGAGAAGAGAAAAAAATGGGGAGCAAAATTTTACTCAGTGAGTAAAATTTTAATCTGTGCAAGATGAATAAAATCTTTTAGAAATCTGCTGTACAACATAGTTAGCAATACATTATTGTGGACTTCAAAATTTGTTAAGAAGTTCACCCAACTGCAGTGTATCCCAGCTACAAGCTAACCTAAGTGTTCTGGACATACGTAAGGCAGGCTATGATAAAATATCATGTTCAGTAAATTAGGTGATTTAAATGCATTTTCAACTATTGTATTTTAAAATTATGATGGGTTTACGGGCCTATAACCCCATCAATAATTCAAAGAATTACTGTGTAATAAATGCGAAGTTTTAAAGTGTCAATTGTACCTCAATAAAACTGTTAAAGATGGTATATTTAACACAGATGATAACAGACATTTTCATCTTCGCTAAAACTGTAGATAATATTATAGGAAGATTAAATGATATTGTAATAAGTAGAGTGAGAAACCATGTTCTTGCACTCAAACTCAATCTCTTATCTTTATTTATGTTTTCTTCTAGATTCTGGGGTACATAAGCAGGTGTTAAAGGATATTGCATAATGATGAGATTTGGACTTCTAGTGAACCCATCACCCAAATAGCTGTTACCACATATTAGATGCTAAAGAGAAATTGGGCCCAACAAAACTTATTGAATAATTGAGGCAGGTTTGTGTGTGTCATCAACATCAAATTCCATCCAGAAGTTGAAGAATCTGAATTTAATGATTGTGTGCATTTAATAAGAGGATGATCTTTCAGTTTAATTTCACTGTAGAAAACTATCTGGAAAATGAATTAACACCCCTTGGAGATGGGGCTTTGACACTGGATTTCTCAAAACAGCTGTCAGTCTCTGAAAGTTAAAAAGGAGAAGAGAGGGACAGAAAATGTTCTGCAGAAGAGTTTGGTGTGCCTCAGGATCACTTGTGGGAACATAACTCAATGGAAAATGCAGCTCCCTCTCAAGACACACACAGCCCACTCAGTGCAGCAAACGGTTCAAGTAACTTGGAGCCACATGAAAAACAGCCCTGCTTGAGAGCTGCCAAAGAGCATGCTATGCCTAAAGATTTAAAGAAGATGTTAGAAAATAAAGTCATAGAAACATTACCAGGTCTCCAGCATGCTAACTTATGAGTAGTGAAAATCATCTTGTTGAAAGAGAACTTCCCTGGAGAAAACATAGTTTCAAAAAGCTTTTTTTCTCATTCTGATCTGATTACAGGTGTTTACGAAGGAGGCTTAACAATCTGGGAGTGTACTAGATCACGGAGGAGAGCATCTTTGCCGACATCGTCTATGCCTTTGTGAGCCTGACAGCCATCCAGATAGGCCTCATAGACCCTGCTGAGCTGCATGGGGCTGAGGCCGGATGGCATCATCTGCCACTCCCTGGGGAAAGTGGCCTGCTGCTAGCCGACGGCTGCCTGTCCCAAGAGGAGGCTGGCCTCTCCGCCTACTGAAGAGGGAAGTGCATCAAAGAAGCCAGCATCCCACCAGGCACCATGGCAGCTGTGTGCTTGTCCTGGGAGGAGTGTAAGCCGTGCTGCCCTCCCTGGGCATGGCACCCACCTGCCACAACTGAGGACATGGTGACCATCTCGGGACCTCAGGGCCCTGTGTACAAGTTCGTGGAATAGCTGAAGCAGGAGGGCGTGTTTGCCAAGGAGGTGCGGACGGGTGGCATGGCCTTCCACTCCTACTTCATGGAGGGCATCGCACACCCACTGCTGCAGGCACTCAGGAAGGTGATCCAGGAGCCGAAGCTGCGCTTGGCCCGCTGGCTCAGCACCTCTATCCCTGAGGCCCCACTGCACACCAGCCTGGCACGAATGTGCTCCCCCCAGTACAACGTCAACAACCTGGTGAGTCCCATGCTGTTCCAGGAGGCCCTATGGCTTGTGCCTGAGCACGCGGTGGTGCTGGAGATCGTGCCCCACACCCTGCTGCAGGCTGTCCTGAAGCCTGGCCTTAAGCCAGGCTGCACAATTGTCCCCCTGATAAAGAAGGACCACAGGGACAACCTGGAGCTGTTCCTCGCCGCCATCGGCAGGCTGCACCTCTCAGGCATTGACGCCAACCCCAATGCCTTGTTCCCACTTGTGGAATTCCTGGTTCCCCCAGGAACTCCCCTTATCTCCCTGCTCATCAAGTGGGACCACAGCCTGGCCTGGGACGTGCCGGCCGCCGAGGACTTCCCCAGCGGTTCCAGTTCCCCATCCGCTGCCGTCTACAACATCGACGCCAGCCCCGAGTCTCCTGACCACTAACTGGTGGACCACTGCATCGGTGGCCATACCATCTTCCCTGCTGCTGGCTATCTGTGCCTCAAGTGGAAGACGCTGGCCCGCGCCCTGAGTCTGGCCACGGAGCAGCTGCCTGTGGGTGTTTGAGGACGTGATAGTGCACCAGGCCACCATCTTGCCCATGAAGGGGACTGTGTCCCTGGAGGTATAGCTCCTGGAAGCCTCCCACACCTTCGAAGTGTCAGAGCGCGGCCACCTGGTAGTGAGTGGGAAGGTGCATCAGTGGGAGGACCCTGACCCCAGGCTCTTTGACGAGCAGGAAAGCCCCGACACTAGCCCCGGGGAGCCATTCTTCCTAGCCTAGCTGAAGTGCACAGGGAGATGTGTTTGCATGGCTACAACTATGGCCCTCAGTTCCAGGGCATCCTAGAAGCCAGCCTGGAAGGCAACTAGGGCAAGTTACTGTGGAAGGACAACTGGGTGCCCTTCCTGGACACCATGCTGCAGATGTCCATCCTGGGCACGGGCCAGCGCAGCCTGTTCCTGCCGACCTGCATCACTGCCACCCACATCGACCCTGCCTCCCACAGGCAGAAGCTGTACACACAGCAGGACGAGGCTAAAGTGGCTGACTTAGTGGTGAGCAGGTGCCTGAAGACCACAGCGGCCGGAGGCGTCCATCTCTCCAGGCTCCACTCCTCGGCGGCCCCGCGGCGGCAGCAGGAGCATCGAGCACCTGTCCTGGAGTTTTGTTTCACGCCCCACATAGAGGACAGGTGCCTGTCTGGGCACGCTACTCTGAAGGAGGAGCTGCAGCTGTGCAAGGGACTGGTGCAGGTGCTACAGGCTAAGGTGACCTAGCAGGGGCTGAAGATGGTGGTGCCCAGACTGGACGGGGCGCAGGTCCCCCAGGATTCCCCGCAGCAGGCACTGCCCCAGCCGCTGTCGGCTGCTCGCGGGCTTCAGCTCATCAGGAACCTACAGCTGGAGCTGGCACAGGTTCTGGCTCAGGAGAGGTCTGAGCTGCCAGAGGACCCTCTGCCCAGCCGCCTCCTGGACTCCCCAGCACTCAAGGCCTGCGTGGACGCTGCCCTGGAGAACATGTCCAGTCTGAAGAGGAAGGTGGTGGAGGTGCTGGCTGGCCATGGTCACCTGCATTCCCGCATCCCAGGCCCGCTCAACATGCTGCAGCTGAGCTACATGGCCACCAACCGCCACCCTCAGGCCCTGGAGGCTGCCCAGGCCAAGCGGCAGCCGCACGACACCACCCAGGGCCAGTGGGACCCCGCGGACCCTGCCCCCAGCACCCCGGGCAGCACTGACCTCCTGGAGTGCAACTGTGCAGTGGCTGCCCTCGGGGACCTGGCCTCAGCCCTCGGCAACATGGTGGCTGCCCTGAGAGAAGAGGGCTTTCTGCTGCTCCGGGGGCACGGCCTTGGGGAGACCGTGGCCTTCCTCACCTCGGCTGAGCCGCAGTACGCCCCGGGCATCCTGAGCCAGGACGCGTGAGACAGCCTCTTCTCCAAGACGCCGCCACGCCTGGTGGGCGTGAAGCAGTCCTTCCGCCGCTCCGTACTTCCCCGCGCGCCCGCCCCGCAGGACGGCCCCATCTTCCTTCCGGCGGAGGACGCCAGCTTCCGCTGGGGACTCTGACGGGCGCGCGGCCGGCTCCTCCTCCCGGCTCGCGGGACTGAAGGCCGTCGACTGCGGCGCCTCCGGCGTGTCCGACGTGTCGGGCGTGGGGAACTGTCTCCGCCCAGAGCCCGGCGGGCGCCGCAGCGGCTGCCTGCTGCTCTCCAACCTCGGCAGGCCCTGCGCGTCGTGGACCCGGGCTCCGCAGAACTGCACAAGGCGCTGCCGGGAGAACGGGTGACGGACGTCTGCCGCGGGGGGCCCGAGGGGCCTCCCGCCAGTTCCCGCGGGAGCAGGACGAGCCCGGGGAGCTGGCGGCACAGGCCCACGGGGTGGTCCTCGCCCGGGGGGCCTGTCCTCCGTCCGCTGGGTCTGCTCCTCGCCGCGCCATGCCCGGCCCGCCGGCCCTGGCGCCCAGCTCTGCACGGCCTACTTCGCCTCCCTCAACTTCCACGACATCATGCTGGCCACGGGCAAGCTGCCCCCTGACGCCATGCCGGGGAAACGGGCCACCAAGGACTGCTTGCTGCGTATGGAGTTCTCGGCCCGGACGCCAGCGGCAAGCGTGTGACTGGCCGGCGCCCGCCGAGGGCCTGGCCGCCTCTGTCCTGCTGTCGCCGACTTCCTCTGGGACGTGCCCTCCCGCCGGACCCTGAAGGAGGCGGCCTCGGGGCCCGTCACCCGCAGCACGGCCTACCAGGCACCGGTGGTCTGCGGGCGGCGCGGCGCGGGGAGACGGACGCGCATCCCCTCTGGCTCGGGCGGCGTGGGCCGGGCCGCCTGCGCCATCGCCCTCAGTCTGCGCTGCCGCGTCTTCACCGCCGCGGGGTCGGCCGCGAATCGGGCGTTGCTCCAGGCCAGGTCCTCCCAGCCGGACAGCACCAGCTTTGCCAACGCGAGGGTCACGTCGTTCGCGAAACACGTGCTGCAGCACACTGGCGGGAAGGGCGTTGAGCTGGTCCCGAACTCCTGGGCGGAAGAGAAGCTGCAGGCCGGCGCGAGGGGCCGGGCTCGGCACGGCCCCTGCCTGTAAACTGGCAAATCTGACCTTGCTGACAACCACCTGCTTGGCGTGGCCGTCTTGAAGAACGGGACCTTCCACGGGATCCTTCTGGACTCGCTCTTCGGCGAAGCCAGTGCTGCCTGGCGGGAGGCGTCGGTGCTTCTGCAGGCTGGCATCCGCGATGGCGGAGTGCAGCCCCTCAGGCGCTCTGTGTTCCCAGGGCTCAGGTGGAGGCCGCCTTCAGCTCCATGGCCCAGGGCAAGCTCATTGGCGAAGTCGTAGTGCAGGTGCATGCGGAGGAGCCGGAGGCTGTGCTGAAGGGGGCCAAACCCACGCTGATGGCCGCTGTCTCCAAGACCTTCTGCCCGCCCCACAAGAGCTACGTCATCGCCTGTGCCCGGGGTGGCTTCAGCCTGGAGCTGGCCCAGTGGCTGATACATCGCAGGGACCAGAAGCTGGTGCTGACCTCTAGCTCCGGGATCTGGAGGTAAGTTTTAGACCCTTATTCCCCTTCCCCTCTCCCTTTTTGGAATCCCCAATGTCTATTATTTCCATTCATGTATCTATGTGTACCCATTATTTGGTTCCCACTTAATCAGTGAGCTGTGGCATTCGATTTTCTGGTTCTGAGTTATTTCACTTAGGATAATAACATCCAGTTACACCCATGCTGTTTCAAAGGACATGATTTCATTCTTTTTTAATGACTGCATAGTATTCCATGGTGCATAATATATCACATTTTCTTTATCCAATGCACCAATTATGGACACTTAGGTTGATCCCATTACTTTATTATGGTGAATAGCAGTGAAATAAAAATACAACTGCAGCTATCTTTGTTACATAACAGTTTATTTTCCTTTGGGTAGATAATGAGAAGTGGTATTGCTGGGTCAAATGGTAGTTCTGTTCCTAGTTCTTTGAGAAATTTCCAAACTGCTTCCCACAGTGGCTAAAAATTTTGTGTTCCCACTAACAGTGTATAATCGTTTTCTTTTCTCCGTGGCCTTGCCAACATCTGTTATTTTTCAGCTTTTTGATAATAGCCATTCTGACTGGTATGAGATGGTAGCATGTTGATACCAGAAGATAATAGACATTTTCATCTAATTTGCATTTTAATTTGTATTTCTCTGACGATTAGTGGCGATGAGCATTTTTTAAATATGTTTGTTGGAAGCTTTATCCCTGTTGCTTCCCACATGATTATATTCTTTTTTAATGACTGCATGGTGTATATATGTCAAATTTTCTTTATCCATGCCACCAATAATGGGCACTTAGGTTGATTTCATGACTTGGTTGATTCCAATCAGCCAGATCATGGTTGATTCCATGACAACATGGATGGAACTTCCAAAAGGAAGACATGCAGTGTCTTCTTTTGAAAAATGTCTATTCACATATTTTACTCACTTTGTAATGGGGTTGTGTTTTTTTCTTGTTAATTTGAGTTCTGTTACAGGTTCTCGCTATTAGTCCTCTATCAGATGCAGAGTCTGCAAATATATTCTCCTATTCTGTGGGATGCTTGTTTACTTTGTTGATTTTTTATTTGATTTCATTTTCTGTGTAGAAGCTCTTTCATTTAATTCCCATTTGTCTGTTTTTGGTTTTGATGCATTTGCTTTTGAGGTCATAGTCATAAATTCCTTGCTTAGGCCAATATCTGGAAGAGCTTTTCTTAGGCTTTCTTCTGGAATATTTATAGTTTCAGGTCCTATATTTAAGTCTTTACTTCATCTTGAGTTAATATTTGTATGTGGTAAGAGATAGGGGTCCGAAAATTCCCAGTGCCATTTATTTAATAGGATATCCTTTTCTCATTGTTTGTTTTTTTCAACTTTAAGTGGATCAACTTTAAGATCTAAATTTAAGATCTAAATTTAAGTGTTCTTTTCCTAGGATTTCTATTCTGTTCCATTGATCTCTCTTTCTCTTTTTTGCACCAGTACCATGCTGTTTTGGTTACTGTAGCTGTGTAGTATATTTTGAAGTCAGGTAATATGATGATTCCAAATCAGTTATTTCTGCTTAGGATTGCTTTGGCTATTTGGGCTCTTTTTTTTTTTGTTTCATAGGCTTGTTTTTTTGTAATTTCGTTAAAAATGATAATGAGATAGAAACTGCATTGAATCTGTAGATTGCTTTGAGCAGTATGGTCATTCCAATGATAATGATTTTTCTATTCCATGAGCATGAAATGTTTTTTCCATTTGTTTGTGCCATCTGTAATTTATTTCATCAGTGTTTTGTAATTCTCTTGTAGAAGTATTTCACTTCCTTGGTTAAATGCATTCCTGGGGTGGGAGGATGTGTGTGTGTGTGTGCGCGCGCGTGTGTGTGTTGTAAACGTGATTGAGTTTTTGATTTGGTTCTCAGTTTGAGTATGTCAGTGTACAGGCATACAACTAATTTTTGTTCATTAGTTTTCTATCCTAAAACTGTATTTAAATTGTTTATCAAGTCCAGAAGTCTTTTGGGAGAGTCCTCAGGGTTTTCTAAGCATAAGATTACATAATTAGTTAACATAAATAATTTGACTTTCTTTTTTCCAATTTAGATGCCTTTTGCTTATTTCTCTGCCTGATTACTCTGGCTAGCATGTTCAGTACTATGTTGAATAGTACTGCTGATGGTAAATATCGTTGTCTTGTCCTAGTTCATAGTGGGGCTGCTTTCAACTTTTCCCCATTCAATATGATGCTTTCTGTGGCTTTGTTTCAAAACTCAGTATTTTAATACATAACATTTTTCCAAATTTATCTTTATATTTAACACCATCTGAATACAAATTCTATGCACTTCTGTAAAATTTGTATTTAAAATTATATATATAAATATCAAAAGACATAGGAAAATTATTTAAACAAAAAACATTGGGAAAAAAGAGAACTAAGTCAATAGAATGAAGTACTGGCAAATAAGTGCCGTTAATACAGAGAATTAACTTCCAACATATCTACAACCATCTGATCTTTGACAAACCTGACAAAAACAAGCAATGTGAAAAGGATTCCGTGGTCAATAAATGGTGTTGGGAAACCTAGATAGCCATGTGCAGAAAGCAGAAACTGGACCCCTTTCTGACACCTTACACTAAAATTAACTCCAGATGGATTAAAGACTTAAACATAAGACCGAATACCATAAAAACCCTAGAAGAAAATCTAGGCAAAATCATTCAGGACATAGGCATAGGCAAAGACTTCATGACCAAAATACCAAAAGCATTGGCAACAAAAGCCAGAATAGACCAATGGAAGCTAATCAAACTCCACAGCTTCTGTACAGCAAAAGAAACAGTCGTTAGAGTCAATCAGCAACCAACAGAATGGGAAAAAAATTTTGCAGTTTACGCATTTGACAAAGGGCTGATATCCAGAATTTACAAAGAACTAAAACAGATTTACAAGAAAAAATCAAACAAGCCCATTCAAAAGTGGGCAAAGGATATGAACAGATACTTTACAAAAGAAGACATACATGAGGCCAACAAATATATGAAAAGATGCTCATCATCACTGGTCATTAGAGAATTGCAAATCAATACCACATTGAGATACCATCTCACACCAGTTAGAATGGTGATCATTAAAAAATCTGGAGAGAACAGATGCTGGAGAGGATGTGGAGAAATAGAAACACTTTTACACTGTTGGTGGGAGTGTAAATTAGTTCAGCCCCTGTGGAAGACAGTGTGGCGATTCCTCAAGGACCTAGAAATGGAAATTCCATTTGACCCAGCAATCCCATTACTGGGTATATATCCAAAGGATTATAAATCGTTCTACTATAAGGATACGTGCACATGAATGTTCACTGCGGCACTGTTTACAATAGCAAAGACCTGGAACCAACCCAACTGCCCATCGATGATAGAATGGACAGGGAAAATGTGGCACATATACAGCATGGAATCTGAACCTGGAAACCATCATTCCCAGAAAACTGACACAAGAGCAGAAAATCAAACACCGCATGTTCTCACTCATAGCTGGGTGCTGAACAATGAGAACACATGGACACAGGGAGGGGAGCACTACAAACTGGGGTATGTTGGGGGGAAATAGGAGAGGGACAGCGGGGGGTGGGGAGTTGGGGGGAGAGAGAACATGAGGAGAAATGCCAGATATAGGTGATGGGGAAGAAGTCAGCAAATCACACTGCCACGTGTTTACCTATGCAACAATCTTGCATGTTCTTCACATGTACCCCAAAACCTAAAATGCCATAAAATAAATTAAAAAATATAGAAAAGAAAAAAAAAGAAGAAAAGAAAGTCTTTTCAATGAATAATGCAGGGACACTTTGATAACTACTCTTTAAATAATTATTCTAACTTATACCCCACACATATTATATGTTATAGGAAAAAAGAACTAAAAATAAAGAGACTAAATTTATAAAGCCTTAAAATATCTACTGGAGGCTACTTGGGTTTGCAAACATTTCTTAGGGAGGACATAATAATTACTAATAAAAAGTGGCTAATTTTCTTCAAAAAAATTCTGCTCACTTAATAACATTTTAAAACGATATACTAGAAGAGAAAAACATTGGATATGTCTGATGTTTACATCTACAATATAACCAAATCAAAATCGCCCAGTATAAAATTAACAGAAGACCTGTGCAGCTCTTCACAGGTTCATACAAAAGTAAAGATATAAAATAGCACTCGAAATGATGCTCAACATCCTCAGACAGTAGGGAAATACAATTTAAATCAACATGCAATACTAGTACTTCAGAATGGCTACAATTAACTAAGACTGCTATTAATTAGTGTTGGCAATGATGTGGATCAACTGAAGCTGTTACTAGTGTTTCCGGTAGGAATTGAAATTGATACAACTATCTTGGAAAATATTTTGAAAATATCTTCTAAATTTAAGTTATTTATCATATGACTCAGACAATTCACTTTTATTTACGAAACAAAAGTGAAAAACTTTATTTGCATTTTTTTACAAGAATGTTTCTAGAAACTCATTCAAAATATACAAACAGTGAGAATAAAAACATCTAACTGTTTATTTCCAGGTGAATAGATGAAAATAATTTTATTTATACAACTAGTGGAATACTAACCTGCAGCAAATAGACACAAACTACTGTTGCATTCAGTAACATGAGAAAAATGTTTAAAAAAATGTTGTGTTTAAGAAGACATACAAAACAGTGCATGCTGTATTATTTCATTAATATGAAATAATATGAAGCTTCATTAATCTGAAGCTCTAGAACAGATTAAAATAATCTAAATAAATGGTAGAAATCAGAAGAGTGCTTACCTGAAAGATGTCATGTGATAAAAGTAATGTAAATCTTGACCAGCATGTTGGTCATATATATACACACACACTTATTAAAATTCATTATACTGTATCCTTAAAAATCTATACATCTTATTGTATGTAAATTATACTTCCATAAAAAATGAAAAGGTTGATTCTGACAGTTAATTTGACATGACTATTAGATGTTCTGTTGAAGATGTCAAACAAACAGATCTATAAGTCTGTTGTTCTTGGAGAGTTCCATGTTGTTGAAAACATTTAAGAATTATTCACACAGACAGTAGGAAAAGGTATTTCTTGTCTACAGCTATGAAGGCCATCTAAGATCCAAGCATTTTTCATAAGCTTATTTCAGACCCTCCATTACCATGTATATTGTTTTTTGTTTGTTTGTTTGTTCTGAGATGGCGTCTCACTCTGTCACTTAGGCCAGATTGCAGTGGCGTGATCTTGGCTCACTGCAACCTCTGCCACTTAGGTTCAAATGATTCTCCTGCCTCAGCCTCCCAAGTACCTGGGATTACAGGTGTCCGCCACTGTGCCTAGCTAATTTTTGTAGTTTTTAGTAGACATTAGGTTTCACCAAGTTGGACAGGCTGAACTCCTGACTTCCTGATCCACCCACCGTGGCCTCCAAAAGTGCTGGATTACAGGTGTGAGCCACTATACTCAGCCTCTCGTGGATATTGTTTTCAGACAATAACCACTTCCAATTATACCAGGTGAATTATTCTAGTACACTTTTGTATTTGAAGGAAATAAGTGGTAATTTGGAGCTTTATCAGTTTTCCTAATGAGATCTTGCTTTCTCAGAACATGATTTTTGATTACCTCCTGGCCCTTCACCCTCCCCCCTTTTATTTTCCCTTTTTGATAGTTTTAATCTGCCTTTGACTAGTAGGAGGGTGGATTTCAAATTGTAAAACTTACTTAATATTTACAGTAAGTCATATTAACCAGCATCAAATTTATCAGAATAATGACAAATATATACAAACTAATACCTATTAACCTTATTTAGAAATTTTCAATGCATTATAAACTTGAGAGGTCAAATACAGCATCACTCATTAGCCCCTAAAAATTCAACACAGCTACCTTATCTAACTTCTAATTCTCTGTATTTTACCAATTCTAAATATTAGTTAAATTTGCTTATTTGAAGTACTTTACAACTGAATGAAACATTGAGAATTTGGAAGTAATCTGTGAAAAAGCCCTTTATTCAAGACTGGCATTCAATTTAGGACAGGCATCCCCAAACTACAGCCCCCGAGGGCTGCATGCGGCCCCCTGAGGCCATTTATCCAGCCCCCTGCCACACTTCAGGAAGGGACATCTCTTTCATTGGTGGTTAGTGAGAGGAGCACGGTATGTGGCGGTCCTCCAACAGTCTGAGGGACAGTGAACTGGCCCCCTGTGTAAAAAGTTTGGGGACGCCTGATTTAGGATGCGAATGATAACTGTTAAGAAACACACTTGACAAAACATTCTATGGAGGACTATATATCATTGTATATCAATTCTTCCATGTGTTATTCATTAATTTTCAAAAAAATATTAACATCTGTTACATTATTGCTAAAAAAATACTATAGGATAATAATTACATTATTGCTAAAAAAATTTATAAAAATACTATAAAATTGCTAAAAAAATACTATATTCTGTGACCACAAGGCTATTAGGACATAGGTTGTTTGGGAGTTGGCAGAAGACAGAAGAAATAAATATGAAATATTGAATTATTTTGGTTTGTTAAGGTAATATTGATGACACTGCCAATGATTTTTCCCCATCAAAGGTGGTAAGTCAGGAAGGCATAAGGTTTATTTAATATTTAAACATATAACACAACTTCATGATGAATATGAGATTAAAATTGCAGTTTAAAATATCCCTTCTGTATTAAAAAACTACAAAGCCAAGTCTCAATGTAACTATTTAGCAAGGTAGTATAATTGGAAAATTTATAACAGTTCTCAGCACAAGGCAAACAATGTTGTGATTGTGTTCCTAAATGACTCATAATGGTTTCTTCTAATAATTATCCATCTCTTTCCCCATGACTGTTCCTTTCAATTCATTTGTATATTTTATAAAGCTTCTTGATACTGTGTGCTGATTTCCTCATAAGGGTTGCTTTGAATGTGTGAACTAATATTTTTGAGTAGAAGTTTTTTTTTCACGTGTTTATGAATAAAAATCTGTATGTTTTCTTGAATTTTTGAATACTACTGTTTTCCAATTCAAAAGTATAGAAAAGACATTGTGGGATGTTCATAGTGGGATAGGTTATGTATATGTGGGGAACAGGGGCTATGTGGGGCCTCTGCACTTTCTGTTCTATTTTGTTTGAACCTAAAACTGATGTAAAATTAAAAGATTATTAATCTAAATAAATATGAAGACATATTTAAAACTCTTTTAATACTTCATGCTGCAGAAAATTGGCAACAGTAACTTAAAAGTATTTGTAAGATTTGCTTATTGAGAAAACAGCATCACACAGTAACATTTTGTGAACTAAATGTATTTGCATTTACAAATTTTTATTTTGTGTTAACCCAAAGAAATTTAAGTGAACTAAAAATACTTACTATTTTTTATTAAAAATAAGAGCATTATAACACTGAAGAAATATGCAAACATTTTCTAAGTGTAAGCTGACAAATAATTATTTGAATAAATACCTTCATTATTATTTTGATAAGCTATTGTTTGATAAGCTATATTTGTTTATAGATATGGTAGCTGTGTTGAAGATTTAGGAGTTAATGAGTGATGCTGTATTTGACCTCTCAAGTTTATAATCCATTGAAAGTTTCTAAATTAGTATGTAAATAAATGTTCCAGTTTGAATTATGTTCATATAATCTGTAAGCATAAACAGAAGTTTAATCATAACTAAGACTTTGAAAGAAGATTGGAATGGAATTGAGGAGATGGAGGAGCAATTCTAGGTCTCCTATTAGCCTCCATTTTATTTGTTTAAGTCACTTCACATCTCCGATTTTGTTGTTTATTTTTGATATAAATATATGACATTCTTAATCTTGGCATACATGGAAGGGTGGTAGAAGATTTATACAATCATGTGATTAAATGCAAAATTCAAGGAGAATGTACATTTTACAGAAGAGTCTCTATACTTCAAAGGCAGTTACAGAATTTCTATATAACACGAGAGAAAATGTATTTCATTAGATTGAATGTTTAACTGATGTGGCTTCAGAAGCATGCTAATGTCAAGTGTTTGGTGACCAAAGCCTTACACTGCAAGAAGCCCTGGACAGTACCATTGCCTTTAATGATTTTGAAAGTGATTATTGAGAGAATAGTTTAAAAGCATTAGTATAGATGGATCTAAAGCCTTTAGAAAGAAAACAAGTATGAATAAATGAACATTTTAGTATATAAGCAACATCAGAAAATATGTAATAGAATTTCCAGCTTTTAAATGGAATGAAAGCCACCCAGGCAGTCAGAAGGCCAACATGGGAGTCCCATCTCTATTACAAACCTCCAGTTGTTTCGGTCTCTGAAATTCAGTTTGTTTACCTAAAGGACAAATATTCAAGTTGACCCAGTCATGTATGGTTTAATTTATTGTTGTTATTTTTTACGTAGCTACCACTTGACAGAATTGCATTAGATGTAAGGGGTATAAATATGAAGAGAAACAGCTGCTACCTTCGGGAAGCTGATGCTCTTTGAATCTTTTATCTCAAAGCAGATCCATCTGTATTAGTAAAAGTAGACCTTTTCGTTCTGTTCTGACAACTAGGGATCTTCTTTATCTTTCCTTAAAATTTTCTCCTGCCTTCAATCTACTTGTCTGCATAACCCTAGCATATTTTTTCTGTGACTGTGACTGTCCCAGAATCTTGGGGATAATTTCCAGAATTAGAAACCAGTCTTCATCATTGAAACTTAGAAAATTTTAGAGGTATCATGACAAACAACATAAAATAAGGAAACTTTTACCAAATTTACAGAAAATAGATACTTTTTTTTCCTCCCAATATGTTCTTATCCCCTTCACAGTCCCCATCAGTTTTATTATCTCGTAACAGCGCTAACAACTAAAACATGTGTAAGCATATCAAAAGTGGGGGAAAGTCATTTTAGTGTGTCCCCATCTGGCTCATATTTTACTTCATATTTTATATTATAATCTTTGTATATTTTGATTGATAAAGTCATGATTAGCACAATAAGATAATAAGGTTATTGTATCTATTCTGTGCACTTCAGTAGTAACATAAGTCTCAAATAAGAAAACAGTGCTAAGGTAAGGAATGTTTATTAATCTATACAAGCACAGATGATTAAGAATAATTATCCTCATCCAAAGAGAAATAAAAACTGTTGCAGGCCCAAAACTCCAAAACTCTATTTGTAGAGAAATCAGGGTATTAAATAATTATAAAATTGACAAAAGAAAGAAAGATTTAGCTAAGACCACTCCATTCTGTCTTTAAAAGCTTGTACTCAAGTTGATAAATTCCAGTTTTTAATTCTCACTCAATTCTACTCAGTTCTAAAGTATAAAATGCTATAAATTCTGAAATAAAACTCAAAATTAACCAAAGTTTGTTATAAAAATATAGTTATGATTCTGCCTCAGACTCTTTGTGGGTTTTTAGGTAAAGGGCAAAAATATAAATGAAGAGAGGTAACAAAAATCATGCAAATTTAAGATAGCTTATTTTTCTGACATTCTGGTAATTTTAAATCAAGATAGAGAATTGTTAGCAGAAGTGCCAGCAACATAAGATCTGCTAAATAAAATGATGCTACATTTAAAGTGAACATAAAAGACATAAATTACAGTAGACAGAAGGATCCCTTTAGAGAATTAACTTAGAAATTCTATCAAGACTTTGAAATAAGACCAAATAAGAGTGAAATAAAAAGAATGATTATTTTAACTTCTAAAGCTCATTATAAAATGTTTGAAAAACATCATATTTGTAAAGATGTTTAAATATAAATATATTACTTAGATATTATAATAGATAAACAGATAAGGATGGATGAATGGATAGATGGATGGATATGTAGATATTTGGATAGATGCATATCATAAATGACACTCTTGAATTGAAATACTGTTGTTTTTTCCAAAGTCAGTTATTTTATATGGATCTTTGGGTCCATCTCTCATGGTCTACTTGGGGAGAACAACATCTATTTTTTTGTTGTTCTAAAAGATATACCTTAGTGATTCAGGAAGCAATTATTATTCAAAAATTAAATGATAAATTAAAAAGAAATTATGGTGGGTCTTTTTTTTTCTATTTATATAGCTATATAAGAATCATGTTTACATTGGAACATAAACTATTCCATATTCTTTGAACACTAAGAAATATCTTGGCATGAAGAGAATGATAAATGAAAAAGAAGACCCAGAATGATACACCCAAGGGGAGCTCTATCCACATGCCCTTTTATATCAGGGCATGAAGAATTACATTATAAAAGCTGGGTTATCTTGACCTTGGGCTTACTGTGAAACACATAGTTGATCTTTTCTTCTATTCATCATACTCTTCCCAAGTACAACTACTAGATTTTTGAGTTGACACTTAGCAGTGCTCTTCACAATAAACTTTACAGCAGGCGTCCCCAAACTACGTCTCGCGGGCCGCATGCGGCCCCCGGAGGCCATTTATCTGGCCCCCCGTCGCACTTCAGGAAGCGGCGCCTCTTTCATTGGTGGTCAGTGAGAGGAGCACAGTATGTGGCAGCCCTCCAATGGTCTGAGGGACAGTGAACTGGCCCCTGTGTAAAAAGTTTGGGGACGCCTACTTTAGAGCTTGTTTATTTGAAAGTTACCAAACTCAATTCAGGTTGACTTAAACAAACAACCAAAGGAATTGTTTTATCATTAAGTCAAACTCAATTCAAGTTGACTTAAACCACTAAAGATATTGTTTCCTTATTAGGTCGTAATTTGTTTATTTTGCTTTGGTTTTGTCCATAAGGACAGAGTATATCTTGCTCAGTATTTTTCAGCACTTCTCACTGTGTGTTGACTTCTTTAGAAAATCTCTCTCCTTTGAGCCTCTAGAGGATAGATAGCAGTTTTAGTGACTACATTTACCCCAAGTCACTCATAACACATAGTAAGTACATTTCCAGTGAATAGTACTGACATATATGCTGACAGATTTAATTTATACTGCTTTCTTAACCAACCACTGAATGAATATAAGTGATACAGTGTGCTGCTTGGCTTGGGCCTAAATGATGTGCTCTGCTTCTAGAAGCAGTAGTGATCACAGAAATATAAATTATCCCAGGGTGCCAATTTTGCCAACTGAGTTGGAAAGTAATAAAATAACTGCTAATACCTATCCCTCCAGATAGCTATCTGATGTTTATTCGTGCGTTAAACTAGATCAAGGTAGTTGTAATTGGTACAGTACTTCTAGACAACAATATAACTCAAAAATGAAAAACAAGACATTTTTAAAATTAAACATAAATTTTAATAATAATAAATTATGCAGGGTTTGCCTGTTTATTTAAACTGGTGAACTTAGTAAAATTTTGGAAGTCACTATCCATAATAATAAAATTTTGGAAGTTAGTATCCATGAGAGAAAATTGTAGTACATTCTCAAACTAGTTGGTAGAGGAGTGGTTTGAAAAATACTCCCCATTATGAAACTGTGTATCAAAATAAACTGTGAGGCTGTATTCTCCTAGTTTTATGCCACCTTTTATCTCTATACCTCATCTGTGACCCTGAAAAATTGCAGCTGTAATGAATCCCTATGATGCTAATAGTATATCACAGCTGTCATTTCTACGAGCCATGTTATTACAGGAAAATGTTTATAAGCAGCTCTATAAATAATATATTACGTAGCAATTTGTATGGCAATTTTGAAATCTAATAGATGAGAACTGTTTTATAGTATAATGTTAAAGAAAAGTACGCTAGTACATTAAATACACACCTTAATGGCAATCATAAATGCTGAGCTATGGTTGCTAATTTAACTTAGGCTAAATAAATGAAAAGAGATTTTCCTTTATTTATTTTCTATGATGTAATATGATCCTAATTTATCAGCATTATTATTTAATATATTTATTTCTATTATATACACAGTGCAGAAATGATAATTATTTTTCTCTTTTCTACATAGGCATCCACATATGTAAGAGAAAACTCAGTTTAATAAGCAACACAAATTGTATACTGCCTTATTCATATATTAATAAATTACATTTGAAGGTCACACAGAAAAGCCAATTCTACAAGGATATCATAATACTCAATAAAATTCATTATCTAAAATTACTTTAAAAGGTAGTAAATTTTTTTATCTAGGCCTGTTAACACTAGGGTATTTTATCATGTTCAATCACTAAAGAAGAGTCTAATCCTGTAAAGTATGATTTCCTAAATGAAAGCAGGAAATTAGAATGACTACTTTGCTGGTAAAATGCCTGCTGGCTTGTAATGTACAATTTCTGAAAGGTGATCAGCCCCCACAATCACTCAATCATGATTGTCTGCTTTTATTTAAAGTTATTGCTGCTAGGAGACTGCTTTCTTATAATCATGCCTTGAATTTCCTTGAAGATGGACAATTCCTGGAACCTGCCAATTTGGTGAGGGCATTGGGAGAACGGAGTGTGCATTTAAGGAGAGTTTATTTTTTCAAATTTTTACTGTGCTCTTTATCCAAGAAGTATAAACAATACTATAACATTTAAAGTTCAAGAGGGGTAAGAACTGTCTTGATGAGGCCTTATATTTTGGTTTTAGTGTACACAGAGAGATGTGTAACATTGACATATACGTTGAGTATATATGAGGAAACAAATTCTTAGAGTTCTGTAACTCTCAGGGGAAAAACCTGGATAAGCAATTGTTGTCATTGTACAGACAACAGGGCCATTTTCAGTGGCCCAGGACTCTAAAATGGACACAGTGTCCAATGCTAAAATGATTTCTTGGGGTTTGGGGAATCAGGCCAACCCTTGGGTTTCTTCCTTTATCAGTTATCCTAGTTAAAGGATAAAAAATTATTGGCGGCCCTACACTTGGATTCATCATGTATGATGGTAGCACTCCCGTCTATAAAGTTTAAGAACTACCTTTGCTATTCACTGGTGATCTCAGAGGGTTCCACAGGTGGCCAAAGGGTCTTGGAAATAGATGACAGCATTTGACATCATTGCATCTGGAAAAGAACTGAGAAGAGATTAGGTCACCCCTTTATACAGGTGGTATACAATAGAGTGCCTAGGTTGGGCTGTGTCCTGTGGGTAACACTTCCATTTGAACAGGAGGTTATAATGGTTATACAACCTTTTGACCCGATATATAAGCATAAATAATGAAGAGCCTGCAAGAGTCTCTACTTCCAGAAGAGCCCAAAAAGTGGCTGGCTTTCACTCTATGCTGTATAATGTGACACTGAGGATGGTAGTTTTATTGTATAGGAACCATGGGCAATTTGTACGAATTGTAGGGGACCTGGAGACTTCAGTAAGCATGAAGAGTTTGTTGAAACTTGAATAGTGAAGGAGTCTCTCGTGGGCACTAATGAAATTTCCTCTTTTATTGTAATGGAGTGCCTACTACCTTGTAATATGCACAGATTCTAGAAGCTATTGTTTGAGGGGTTGTCTGTTTAAAGTGGGCTGATTTCAAGTAATAAAATAAATAATCTTACATAAAATTTGTA